TTAAAGGCCAAGCGTACATGAAAATAACCTCTCTCCTTTTTAAAATATCCTGAAAGATATTTTCTTTAAGAAAAGAGACCACAAACAAACCATGCCTTAGGAAAAACACCGTAAAAAATGATCATTTGTGGCAAAGTTTACCAGAACACTATATTTTGGAAAGGGCAAGTGTGCACAACGTGTGTTTTGCAGATAGATTGAAGCGAAAATCTTTCTAGATTGGCATCTGCACTGCACAACTAGAAGAGTTACTGCAATCAGGATAGCATGGGAGATGGAAAAGAAACTCAGGGGTTTAATCAACAGCACCCACAGATGTCATTGCAACAGAAATATCTAAGCAACAGAACAAACCGTTGAGAATAAATAGTATTCACTGGGGGAGCCTGGCTCTTTAACATGAAGTACTACATTAGAATCTGTCATCTCAAGAGCAATTAAAGACACCTGTAACTTCAAAAGCACTTAGAGATGCATCAGTATGCCTGAGAGAGCTCATAATTCATCACAGGACTTAAGCATTTGCACTCATGTGAACAGCTGCCAAATAACAGCAAACCGCTCAAGTATGAAGAGATGAAATGGTTCAAATAATTGGTTAAAAAATGATTCAGCAATACTTTTTATTAGGGATGCACGATATATCGGCCGCCATATCGGTATCGGCCGATAAATGCTCATTTTTTTCTGTTATCGGTATCGGCCTGATAAGAAAATTTGGCCGATATCTTAAAGCCGATAAATAATGCATTATTTCCTTCCGAGACACTTCAGATGCGCGCTGTTCGTTTGCAGCCTTTTGTGCAATTGTACGTTGTAATATTGTGTTTATTTGATGTATATCTGATTTATCTCATATAGAATGCGTTTGGTTAAGTTAAAAGAGCGCTTCAGTTTACCGGTGATCATCTTTAGCTCAGCGCACGCAGCTCAAACAGCAGTGCACAACATTAATAACTATGATTGGGAATGTTGTGTATATAACATTCTAATGAGAACATTATTATAATAAAACGTTGTGAATTCTTTGGGTTTAGTTGCCGTGTTTCAGCGCGTTGTTATGGGAAGAGCGCATCCACAACAGGATCACACATTCTGACTATAGCACGCAATAACTGTGTCATTTTGTACATATATAAGTTGTATTATTATGTTTATGTTGTATTAATATTGATCTCAGGATGCATTTCCTTGAGTTAAATAAGCTGCCAGCAAAACGCTTCAGTTTACCGTGTTCATTCAGCTCTTCAGCTTCAGCTTGAGCTGCAGCTCAATGGCTGCTATTTAAAACAGTGGTATTCATTTGTTACTTTTTCAAAATCATTGATATATTATTAATAACAACAGCCACTTGTATTTTTCTCTTATTATTTTCATCAACAATATGGTTTAGTAATTAAAATCATTTAATTATTGTCCGTGCAGAGGCTATTCTGTTTTATTGATCTGTGGCGCATTCATTTTGATTCTTTACACGTGTAATGATGTCCAGTGTTTGCATTATTTATGCATTATTTTATTTATTTGTAAGACTTCTTTATGACTAAATTTGGTAATGGGAGAGTAAAAATATTTTTAAAACGTACACCGTTCAAACTAGGCTGCTTATGTGTAAGTGTTTGGGATGTGGCTTTTAATGATGAGACCTTTTTTGTAATCAGGCTCTCAAAAAGTATATAACAATTTGGATATAGATTTATCGGCCAACATATCGGTTATCGGCTTTCAAAAATAAAGAATAATCGGTAATCGGTATCGGCCAAAATTTTCATATCGGTGCATCCCTAACTTTTACCCGCAACACCCTATCCAATGTCATCACCTTGACATCTAGCCCATGGTCCTTCTATTCTCGTGGCACAGGTGGGCTCTGTCTGTCTCAGTGTGACATTGCGTAGAGTGTCCAATGCCAAGTGCTCTTGCCCGGGAGCGATAGAGTTAAAATGTGTCTGACCGTGGGTTTGGGTATGACCGTATTGCTCGGCACCTGGTCGACTCCTACAGCAGAGCCTCGCGCAGCCTTTGTAATGAAGGCGGACAGCTTTTCAGAGTTCCTGCTTCAAAGCCTCCAAAATCCAGGAAACTTAGCCACACAATCAGCGGTGGCCAAAACAGCATCTGATGTGCCTTATTTGTTGACGGAGTGAGATCTATCGCAGAGGGTGCGCCGCACTTGGCTTACAATGCAGGGACAACGTAAAGCCCCGTATTCATGGATAGTCTATGAAGACGCTGGGATTCTTCCAATATCTAATGCCAGTTGTGACTTGAAACTAGGGCAGGCTACTGTGATGTTAGTTTTTCATTGTTGGTTGTTACACACTAGTTATCAGTCATACATGTTGGGAAATATATATTAGCAATCAGTGTTAAAAATGCTTAGGTTCGGTAGAATATTTATAAATCCTGCACATAATTGTGTGTGTGTGTGTGTGTGTGTGCGCATGAGAATGCATGCGCGAATGTGTATGGTGGTTATACGCTAGGCGAGAGCTCCCTCTTGGTGCCAGTGTATCCAGTTTCTCCAGCTGATGAGACACACACTATAGAGCAATGGGAGATACACTGACACTCTGTGCCAAAATAAAGCACAAGCAACCACCACATTTTTCAGGATTATTTTAAAATTATTTTCCAACAGAAATACTCAAAATGTATGTTTTTGAAAAGTAATGATGATAATAATAATAATAATAATACACTTGTTATTTGTGAGGGAAATTTGATCAGTAATTTTATTTTGTATATTTTTATTTCCCAAGGACATTTACCCCATGATATGATGTTTTATTATGTATATATATCAATATAATATATACATACATTTAAATTTTATAATAATTTTATTTTTGTGTTGTATGTATTATAATATTTTAAAGGAAATTAAATATTTGTGGACAAGTGACGCGAGGTCCATTTTGAAAAAAAGCCATGATGATTGATGTCTGTACATAGTATTATTCATAAGGGTAATAAAAAAAATCAGAAATACTGTAATTGTATTATATATATATATATATATATATATATATATATATATATATATGACACAAAAATGTATGTTTT